TGGTCATGACGTGACTTGTAGTGACCGACTGAAAGGGAACAGTCAATTTTAACCTTCAATATTATAATGTAGAACCAACTGACTCTCATGTATATTTTACAGCATTAGTTAAGAAAATTATTATTAGAAAATGTCTCAGGTTACTTATGTAACCATGGTTCCCTGAGTAGGGAACGAGACACTGCAAGAAGAGAATGATGTGTGCTCCCGGCGCCTATTTATACTATAGTCGCACCGGTAGTGACGTCATGGCTGTCGCCGGCCAACGAGTTGGTGTTTTTTCAATGTATGCTTCAGACACGGGTCACGACGAGGCATTCCCCATAGCGACCCCTAGAGGACGCAGTTCGAAGTTCCCATGAAGGGAAATCTGGCATGTACTGTACCTGATATGTATCAAAAATAATTTATATTGAATCGAATCAAATTTAATTGGTAATCGAATCAAATCGAATTGTGAAATTTGTGTCAAAACCCAGCCCTAATTTTCATTTATATAGCATGTAATAAAAGTGTCTGCATTGCATTCAGTTCACACTGAATATTCTTTTAAAGCATATTTTTTCTATAATAAGTAATTTTTTTAAGTATGCATAAGTGTACTTCTTTCACAAGAGTTAAAATAATGCTTCCCTACAGCTTCATATTGCAGGTAAAACAGAAAAAAAAAACACTGACACTGCAAGACTTACAACACGCATATAAAAAAAAAAAAACATAATACATGTGTGTGTTTATACTCTGTATTTAAAATAGTTTTAATTTTCCTAATGCTTTTGCACTTTTACATTTAAACGGAATAAATAAAGGGACAAACATGATAAATTAACTGCAAAATCAAATTACCAGAAAAATAAACAAACAACAGTAGTGTGAAATGTTTATAAGATCAGAAGGTCGGCTTTTTAAAATCATGGAGACCCCAATTTAGATCCCAGATTAATCTTTTTTTTTAGTTGCAGCTGGATGTATTTGGTTGCATTTATTGCATAATTTGTGGCTAAAATGGGCCAACCTGAACATGGCAGAGTTTTTCATTTTCTACAAATGATATGTCTGTATATTTATGTTTTATATAGGTGAGACAGTTGTGATTTTGTGAATCGTGTTTTGTTTGGTCAGCGTCTGTCCTACAGTGCAGAGGAACCGTTAGCAGATGCTGCTAAGCTGTACTGGCATTTCTTTCGGACTGAGCAGTCGGGCACAGCAGGCATCATCATCACACTCTTCTTGTACGGTGTCCACTGCATCCTCTCCTTCACCTTCCTTTATGTTTACTTCCTCAGGTACAGAATCTTAAAAACAATCTAACAAACACAAAATCAGAACTGTAATTTGTAACATGCCTTTATGCCACTGCAAATCATTTTACATTTTGCTTAATTTCGAGCACCCACTTTTGCAGCAGCCTTTGGTTCTGGAACTATTTTTCTCAATCATTTACACCAAATGCATTTTTAGAAAATTTTTCAAGAACTTTAAATCTTGAACTAAGTCAAAGTTTTAATCAGAGTCTTGAACTGAACACAACTAGCTCTGAATCTCACTGCAGATTTGTGCAGTACTTGTAGTAGTGGAAATTAAACACTTCATTTCAACACTTCATTAAACACTAAATCATTTCTAGATACATTTTGGTTTGGGAATATAATTATCTCTAGGAGTGTCATCCTGGATGAGCTCCAAATTTAATCAAACTGCAGCCAGATACAGCAAGCAGGCCAAGACACATACATTGATAATGCAGTGTAAGTGCTTTAAAGGGGTCATATGATGTTGCTAAAAATAACATTATTTTGTGTAATGAAATATGTTTATGCGGTTTAAGGTTAAAAAAACACATTCTTTTCCACATACTGTACATTATTGTTTCTCCTCTATGCCCCGCCTTTCTGAAATGCGTAAATTTTTACAAAGCTCATCGATTTGAAAAGTGAGGTGTGCTCTGATTGGCCAGCTATCCAGTGCGTTGTGATTGGCCGAATACCTCAAGCGTGAGACGGAAATGTTACGCCCCTCACTTGTAACACTCCAAAGAGAAAGGAAAAATTGAATCCTTTCCTCTGAACAGACCTAATTCAGGGCATTTATTTTATAGGGGAACTCACCTGACGTTGATGAGGCGTTCTTCATTTGCCAGTTTTAATTGTACAAGAGGGAGAGAGAAAACAGAAGGCTGCTTGCAGGGCAGCCAAGCATGTCAGCAGAGGGATATATTAACATATATACCACACATTTATATTTAACAAAAAGCAACACGCATTGTGTCATAATGGCTTGACATTTAGTTAACAGCAGTGTTTGTAGTTTGTATATGGTAGGGGAAAGATGCTGATGTTGAGAGAAAATATGTAAATAATAAATAGATAAAAAAGAGGGATGGAAGATGAGAGGATGAAATTATTTTGGCACAAGATTTTAGTTTTTTTCTGCATCCAAGCAATAAATGATGTCTATCTTCAGAAATGGAATTTCACAATAAGAACCAAAATGCAGTTTTCTCTTTGCCGTTATTTTTCCTGTCAACTTGAGAGTTTGTGTGTGACCTTCCTGGTGGAAGTGTCAAAAGTGTCACAACACTGCAGTCCACACGATCCAGAGTCTGAGATTATGGCAGTGTATTTTTGGACAGGGAACCCCTGAGGGACATCCAGCCAATGAAGTCCTGTCCACCAGCACATAAGCATCATAAACAGGCCCTATCAAGAGCTTTCTGCTCATTACCGTCATCTGACAGCCAAGTGTTGATGTAATGCAATTTGATTTAATACTCTCATGAAATTAAAGAATAAATAATCAGAGAAATGACATGAAGATGAGCTGAAATCACCACAGGGTTTGTTAATATGCATGACAAACGTAATGAACATTGGGGTTTATGATTATATTACCAGGAACCAAATTGTGATGTGTTTTGAAATAATGTCCACTAAGGATCATGCACAATGAAGGATTGGGATTTTTTCTTCTTTGTTCAAATTGCTGTTACTGGGCAAGAGAATGATGCACAAAATCATATTAACCAAAAATGGAAAACCTTTTAAGGTTAAATTTGGACCAAGAAGTCAAGAAATGCATGTGTCAGATATAGTTATGGAATCGACTGTTTATGGATTTCTTTTCATGTACCATCCCTGTTTTGAACATTTAGGTCTTTAATCACACAGACTGTAGCTTTAAGGACTGGAATTAAAACAAAGGACCCAAAACTGTAACAACCTGATTTTTCATTAATCAGTGTAGAATGGTCTCAGAGAAAGAGCTTTCATCTTATTTCTCAATGGCTGGACGACATTAGGTGTCAGCCGTAGAGGCGGGTGATGTCTCATGCCAGTGTACGGCTCTAGGATGGCAGGGTTGGCGCGTGTAACGTGGGTTAAAGCTGAAGGGTGGCTGTGCTGTGTGAATGTAGGCCAGCAGTCTGATTGCGTGTAGGCTTGTGCGTTTTTATGGGTTATCTGCTTCTATTCAATGTGTGGAGAGAAGCACTGACACAGTGCCTGACCTATTTCTAAAATAACGCCTGAGGCTACACGTATAGATAGAATGAACTGTTATCCATTTTTAATTACATTTTAGCAAGCCCTGATTCACTCCCTGCAAAGCAGGAAAAAGCATGTTTTGCATTTTTTTTCATTCCGTTTGTCAGAAAATATATAAACACAATCAGACATTTGATGTGAGACCACAGGTGAACTTGTTATTTTGAAATAAGAGGTGAATAGTGGCACAACTAAAGTGTCTGTTTTAAAGCAGTGAACAGTGAATGAACGGTTCTCCTCTTCAACATCTGGTCAGTTGAGAGGCTTTCAAGCTGACAGTCTCATTGGTCAAGAGGCAGATTGATACAATAATGTGCTACATGTAGTTCTCCTGGTTCTTTGTTTGATTCCTGATCCTTAAATTTCTTTGTGTTGAAATTTTGTCAGGAATATTTTGTTACAGACAATTTCAAATGGTTAATGGCAGGATTGTTCAGTCCTGTTTCCATCTTCAGAGTTCGGTATCTAAAACACTTGAGATTTTTAATGAACCCCAAAACCTTATTATCTTGTTCTGTGCTTTAAAGCAGGGTTGGAACTGAACCCTGGTCTACAGGAGCCGGGCTGAGTACCAATGGTTTATGGGATGTCTTGGTTTCTCATTCATAGCTTTATATAAAATATAGCTAGAAAAAACAACTGACAAACCCAAATTCTCTGGACATTATTGGACTGCTTGTACACCTTGTCATTTAGATTTATTTGGATGTCTTAAGTTATAATAGAAATGTACACATGAAATGTACTTATAACTGTTATTGCTGCATGAGCAGGCTTTTCTGATAATGGTCCAGTGCCATAAAGATCAAATTGACTACACACAATCACCCTCATACAAATTCTAAGAAATGTGTCTTAGGATGTGCCTCCTTCTGGGTTGTTTGACGCAGTGTTAACATCTTGGGCCCAGGCTCACATTATGAGCAGGGCTGCAGAGTTCTGCTGAAAGCATATGATGAGGTGCACCTGAAGCTATGTCCAGACAGCACATCTGGAAATGTTTGATGAATAGCAATGGACATTTCTCACTTTAATTTACTTAGGGTCCAGATTTGGGCCTAGAGTGGCAATGGAGCATTCACAGTGGAGGTTTAGGACATCCTTCCATACTCATAAAGACTACAAAAGAGCACGCAAGCTACCACGACCCTTGGAGTCTATCTGGTTGAGGCCATCAAACTGACCTTTTTTTCTGCAAGGCAATGAACATGCTTATAGAGTGGTGATAGAGTTTACTGGAAGAGCATTTCAGGGAATGACAAGGTTGGAGACATCTCTGGTTCTGAAACTGAGGAGAAGCGTCATCATCATGGGCCTCCTATGACCATCCCAGATTCACATTGTTAGCAAATGAAGAACTTCCAGTTATTATTACACCAAGGATATTAAGGCATGACACACCAAGCCGACCTCCATTCAAATCGGATTTTTGGCCGATTGAACATGTTGAATCACAGTGAGGAAGCCAGTGAGAGAGATCACTCTCAGCCTGTATGACTATCTCAGTCTTCTATGAAAGAGATGGTATAATATAATGAATATAATGTTATAATGTTCAATAAATATAATGTTAATAATACATACAAACATACTAAAAGTCTGATTGCTAATGCAAGTGCAAATGGTGTTCTAAATTTCCTCAGCCTGGAATTAGTGTAAACATGAACTATTTGCATCCTCATCAGTATTGCCAACTTTAACTTTGCAGTTTAATGCAATATTTATAAACTTTTCTGGCACCTTTAGCAACCCCCCATTTTTTAGTTTCTGAGACTTGTCGGTACAGCCCCACAAGCCCAAGGTCGGTTCAGTGAGTGGCTGAGAGGAACAATGCATTCAGTTAACAAACTCAAAAAAATATAAAGTGCTGACAGCAGGCAGAATGTAAATACAATGTAACAATGACATGAAAGTGCTGATTAGCGTTTGACACCATTTAGTGTCATTTATTAAAGGGGTGGTTGATTGCGATTTCACTTTTTTAATATTAGTTAGTGTGTAATGTTGCTGTTTGAGCATAAACAATATTTGAAATAAAGTTCAATGCAAACGGAGATATCGACTTTTAAAATGATGGCAGTTTAATGCCTACAAAAACGGCTGGTAGGGACTACAACAAGTTACTTCCCGGGTTCGTGACGTAACAAACCCAGATAAACCCCGCCCTCGGGAAAAGGCAGCAAAGGGGGTGAGGCCGTGCTGCGCTGCTTTAGAGAAGAGGAAGAGAAAACTAGAGGTGCATGTAAAAATCTATTCATATATGAATCGCGATTCTGTCTTCTAACGATTCTAATGGATTCACAAGTTTCAAAAATCAGTGTTCTAAAACAGTGTTTCCCAACCGGGGTGCCGTCTGTCGAGGGCAGGGGTGCCGTGTAAACAATCATTTTTTTATATTTTTAAATTGCTAAAATGTTCAAAAAGCATCTATTATATAATATCCATTTCTGATGTCGCCAATAATTAGAGATGCACCGAAATTTCGGCTGCCGAAAATTAGTTCACCGCTCAGGTTTCACTTTCACGTGGTGTGACGCTCTGCGTATTGGCCTACCATTAAAAGCCGTGCTTGCACAGGTTATGCAAGATCCTCTTCAATAATATTCCTCTGCTTCTCAATCAGGGCTCAAAACTGATAAGCAATATTAACGATGCCGTTGTTTATAATACAACCAGAGCACATGCCGCTGAGGTGAGGGGCGGGACGTTTAGACGTGCACTAGAGGCGGTTTAGCCAATCACAACACACTGGGCTAGCTAACCAATCAGAGCCCATCGCCTATTTCTGAGGGCGGGGCTTCATAAAAGCAGGAAATGATCAGCGTATTTCTTAGAGAAAGGACAGAGCGGTGTGGAATAAAAGTCAATTATGTGAAAAATAATGCGTTCTTTTAAAATGAAGCATTAACACATGTTAGACTGCACCCCATAAACACAATCAAGCCTAGAAAAAAAAACAGTGAACCACCCCTTTAACATTTTATGCAGGCTTTAGCTCCATTGAAAGTAGTTGGCAAGTAGTTGGACTATTTTCAGAAGACCTGTTGACCTTCCACTGGTGCCCAGGTCCCCTTGAAACATACCAGGGCTGCCACCAACACAATGATCACCTGACCCCTCTACTATGGACCAACTGCCCCATTACATAGCCTGACTTTGACTTTGAAAAACTAATCAAGGTGGGGGAAAAAATCTGCTTTCAAGCTTGTCTTAGGCCCCGTACACAAGGAGACACATTTAGCTGTATACATAACAATTTTGTATCGTATCAGCGTTTCGCCCAGACGGATCCCGCATTTTGGGAGCCTGAAACTGCTATTTTGTGAAACCGGGTCCCAGAGTGGATAAATCTGAAAACTACACCTTTATGTTTACATAACAGCAACAACAACAACAATGGCGGACTACGTGCTTGTGTTCGTGCTGCAGAAGCTTCTGAGCTTATTAGCTTTACTAAATTTACTAGCTTTTCTTGTTGTTGTGTTGGGTTTCTATACAGCGTGCAATGTTTATGCGCATGCTCCAAGTCTTCTTCTCCATTTGTGGTGTATCTCTGTGGCAGAATTACAGCGCCACATAATGGTCTGGAAAGTATACTACATCGTTTTGAGCCGGTTTCAGTGGTTTCATGTGTACGCAGATATTTCTTGAGACAACGCCATGCTTATGGAAGAACGAGGAGAAAAAAAAAAGATAGGATAGGAAAAGCTCTGGCTTTGTGTGCATGAGCCCTTAGTCATCTTAAGCCAATTATTGATTTATATCTTTATTTCAAAAATACTAAAGTTCATCATGATTCTACATTGTTTATTATAAATCCCTGACATACAGTAAGACATGTACTAAGTATATAATAGAATATGTGTACTCTGGCAATATTTTTTCACTTTGATCATAAATGAATGGGTTATAGTCATTCATGCATACTTAGGTCATGTGTACATGCCATAGCAAAGCAATCATCACACGCTTTTTTTCCCCTTGGTAGAATGATGGATTGTTACATTTCACAAAGCCATACTGCTTTTCATCCTTTAAACTTTGCATGGTAGATTTTTCATTTTCTGGAGTGCTCATTACCCTTTTGAGCGCGAAGAATCTCTTTTCTGCAGTGGAGGGTCAAGACATTTTGAAGAGAAGCCAAGCTTTGTGTTTTCACGGCTGTTGATTCATGCACTTTCTATGAGTGATGTCTGAGGAGGTGCCACCTTAAGACTCAATATCAATAACCACGCTGTAGTGGTCATATGACTCACAACTTCCTCACCAGACAGAGATTCAGATACTTCTATAAGCTCAGGTTCTTTGAAGAACATTAGGATCTAGGTATGATCTGAAGAGACAGCCTTCCCACAAAAACACAAGCAAACAAGCCTCCTACACTGCCTTATGATTTTAGAATCCAACATTCAATGCACCTTCTCTGTGATGAGTGAGAGAGGAGGCTTATTTGATATGCTTCAGAAGCTTAAGACCCACTAGAGGTCCAAGATGTCTGTTCATTACAGCTTTTACTTGAGTAGAATGTAGGGGAGAAGAAAAGACCAGAATTAGTTAACAAAGGTGTCAAACCTAGACTAGAGTCGCTTCTGTTTTGCCGGTTGACATTGATGGGTCAGGCCTGCTTTTCTGCCGAGCTGAAGCTCATCAGAATTTCACTGTGTTGGAAAGGTCAGATGAGCTGTTCGTCAGACGTTAACAGCCTTGACAGCAAAATGACCAGGATGTGACAAGGTGGCATAAAACCCATTTGAACTCTGAACTTCTCTCTAGCAACTTTGTGACAAACCAAGAAATAATTTACTGATCATCAGGTCATCTTTACATGCCCTCCATGCCATTGAAACCCTTTAATAATTGCTAAATTCTAATATTATGTGAGAAACAGATGATGTGTTAATATTATTTGGGGGTGTTAATATTATTTGGGGTCTCTCAAATATAATTCATAATTGTGTTTTTTTTTTTTTTAAATGTCACCTTTAGGAGCAGAAGACCAAGATTAACATCACCAACACCGAATGCCACTGGTTCCTTCATGTTACATGACCAATTAGGATTTAATACATAGTGTATTTTTTTCTTTTTTTTTTCTTTTTTTTGGAGCTTGGTGCTATAAATTCATAATTCTGCCAAACATTTCTTAACCTTCTACTTCTTTTAACAGACTTCACAATGATGGGAGACTATTAGATATCTACCAGCGGCTCCACAGCACTGAGGGAGCATTCTTTGTTCCACATGACATGGAGGTTTCCAACCAGGAGCTCAATTATATTGTAAAGAAGGCAGAGCAATGGAGAGGCTTCAATGGAGAGAGACACAAGGTAAGTGTGAGGAAGTTCTTACCTTTTTATAGTGGTAGCAACCAGCACTGAACACTGGTCGAGAGATCTTTTTGCATCAAGGCGATCTAGCTGCCATGGGCTGCATTGCCACACAACGTTTGAATGTTGCAACGCTCTACTCAAGTCTTAGGTGCTTAATTGGATTAATGGTTGTTTTAAAGGAGATGGGCAAAATGGTAGTTGATACTAATCCATCAGATTGCCTCTGCAAAAGATTTCTGTCTCTCTGATGGCTCATAGATGCCCGCTAGCATTTGTGAGTAAGAAAGCCTTTGTGATGGTTTTCAGAAATGGACCGTCACATAGAACTGTTCACTGAGCTTTCTAATATGCATTATAATTAACATAAAATGGAATCAAAGGATATAACATTATTCTGTTTTCTTTAGTTACATTTATGAATGCCAAAAATTTGTCACAGAGGTTTTTAGCTAGTCTAATTAGTTGGGGCTAATTATCCAAAAAGGAATTTGGCTTGATTAATCCACGGAAATCAATTTCCAGCAATATTTCATTAAGAAAAAAGACTGCTCAATCAACAGTGGCACGCATGAGGACACACACTCAACACACACACACACACACACTGAGTTCACAACTTGGGTGGCAACTCCTCTTTTAGTGCTCTTGATGAAGAAATGGTATTGGTTGTCAAACAAGTCATTAAAAAGGAATTCTGCAATTCCTAGCTCAAATCGTAGACCTTTGCAAATCATGTTATTTTTGCAGCCCTTTGCAATGACCCCGTTTATGTTTTAGATTCAAAAAGTACTGCTACAGCTGTGGAAATATTAGTAATGAAGGTGCTACTAATTGGATGCAGTTGTTTAGATTGTAATTAAGAAAACAGCATCATTTAGCCTACACACTTGCAGAATCTTTTTCAGCTAGAGCGGTCTCCATCCCAGAACTGCAGTCATAACCTCCTCTCTCATATTGGCCCTAATTTGCCGTTATTGAACTGATAAAATGCTAACACATTAAACACATTTGCCAGCATGATGAAAATTTAGGGTTATTGCATTTCACAATTTTTACATTATTCAGGCTGACGATTTTTCATTTAAATAAGACGGGCTAGGCCATTATTTCATAATTATTGTGGCAATTTCTCTATGCAAAAAGGGTCACTTTCCCAACTCAGCAAAGACATATCCCTATTAAACTAATTTGCCTACATGCAAATTTTTGTCATTTTTCCCTCATTAACTATTTATCAACACAGTAGAAAAAATATATGTTGGAGGGGAGGGAGCAGCCAGACAGTGCTGAAACTAATATTTTGCAACTCTAATGATTTTTTGCATCCTTAATTAGATAGAATATGCTTGATATGATTAGGCCAGGATGTAGTAGTTTTCATTAAAAATAGATTTCAGAAACTGTATTCCAAATGTTCTCTCACAATTAAATAATGAATCCAGCACATTCCTTATTATGGACCCAATTAATATAGCTGAAAGAGGCATGATTTTAATAACAAGAGGCCACAAGGCCTTCATTAGCAGAGAATGGGGGTGGAGAGAGCATAGAAAACATTTACAGGTACAGACAGAGCCACAGGACACTTGGAAACTTGAAAAGTTTTAGCAGCCTGTATGAATGCCTGTGGCCAATACTGTACATGCGCTGACCATTGCGAATAAATATTACAGTGTTGCAGAAACTGACATACTTTGTCTTCACCTCAGCACATCAAATACCAACTAAATATTATCATTACAATACATATAATTTATCATTAAAAAAAGAAAAAAAACTGTTTGTTTTATGCATTGCGAGTATTTAATAGCATTTAAGACATCAAAAAGTGACAGCAGTGTCCTGCTATACTTTATCTAAAACTGCTAGCCTTTATTTTTATTTTATGAGCTCATAATAATTAAGATGGAATACTTATTTTTTTTTTTTCAGACCATATCATCATATTAATGGACGGCAAAAGAAAAAAAAATATTGTCACTAGCAGAAATAATTGGGTTTTACTCCGACTCTGACCTAAAATAAACATTCAAAATACATTTTTACCTAAATCAGTTTCCATGTAAGTTGTCATCTAGCCTATACAAGGTTATTAAAGCTAATAATTTGCTAATTTTAAGTAACTTGATTCCTGATATGAAGCACATTTTTCTTTATAGAGTAAAGAAGCCGTTCTGACACTAAAACAGTTATGGGTAATTCTTCATTAATGTAAGTTTCTTTTTCCGAGCACTACAACAATAAAACAATCCACAATAAATAATTTTGCACGTGGCCTGGTTTTATCGTTATCAAATTCTGTATGTTTCATGGGGCGATCATAAAAACTAATCAGATTTTTTACTCTTTAATTAACTTCACATTACAGCTTATTTCCTTCTAGGCCATGTGATCAGCATTATTACATTATTAACACATTGTCATACTAGCATTCAGCGGCCACTGAATAAAAATAAGCACTTGCATTTAACAAACACGTACAGTATAGTTGGCTACATCGTAGGTTGTGGGTCTTTTGCTGAGAAACATTTCTATGATGGTGATTACAACCACATAGGCTTTATGTTCTAACTGCACTCCTATAGTGTGTAGCCTATGTCTAGCGAAGGGGCCTTAAGTCAAAGTGTGTGGATAATGAGCTCATTAATTATGTATAGGCACTGCTGCAGATGGACCTCATTAATTGCGTGCCGTCACCTTCTTGATTACTGTACCTGGAAGGGAGGTGCTAATGTCTGCCGTGCTTAAGCAGGTAACGCAAACTGTTTTGTCACCGGCTGTGTGACAATGACAGAAGAGTCCGGCGTCGCCGTAATCTTCTCCGTTATTCACCAGAACGTTACGCTAATGGCTGCTGATAGCCCTGGAGATGTTTTCGCTACTGAATCGCATCGAGATTTGCGCTCTGTCGTGCTATTTGTCTCCACATGTCTCAGTAATGTCTTTCCACGGGCTGAATTTAAGGAACACCCTAGGTGCTTTGCAAAACAACTGACAGGGGGCCCAACCTGTCGCAGGAAGGAGAACACACGCATTGAAGATCTAATGAGGAGCAGACTGCCGCTCTCTTCCTGTGTGCCCCCCACCACTCATCTCTCTGTCTCTCCGTCTGTAATTATTAAGACGGAGTTACGTGGGACCTTTTCATGCTGTTGCTTTAGTCCAACTCTGTGACAGCAAATTCATCAAATAACTCACTGCAAACTTTCTCTCTGTACAGTTGCCTTTGCTCAGATGATTAAATATTGTCACCTATATGTAATATTTAAGAGTCGGAAAACAAATATCGCTTCACAATTAATATCTCCCTACCATTATGCTATAATGTCGAAATGTTTGCGGTCAGTACGAGTGATTTATTTGTAATTATGTATTTTACCAAAATGGAATTATGCTGCTTTGCATTAAAGGATTAAAATACATTTCCATTGTATTTAAATTGAACTGTTAAACTGGGAAATTATACTGTATTTTTGATAAAGCAGAAACAAATAAATGCAGCCTTGTTAAACGTAAGAGACTATTAAAAAAAAAAAAAACATATTACTGACCCCAAACTTTTAAACTTTAAATATATATTACAGTATTACAATTAAAAAGCACTGTATTACTAAATAACTGCAAATTTAATAAAATTAATTTACTAAAAAATTCAAACATTGATCTGCATTATAGTAAGCAGAATTTTGAGGATTATTTTGAGTGCTTCACTGTCACAATTCAAAATTCCTGATTTTCCTGGGAATCAAACCCAAGAATTTGGCATGAAAAGCTTTATTAAATTAGAGAATGAATCATTAGTTTTACTTCTTTTTTTTTTGTAGTCCCACATACAATTTATGGCTTTTCCCAAAATTATCAGCTTTAGTTCTCACCTACAAAAGCTGACTAGCGGCCCATGACTGGCAAGCTCCGGAGACACTGTCAGGCAACAATGGGCCTGAAAAAGCCCTGGAAAAAACACCCAAAACAGGAACATAAACACTGGAACGAAGAGGGAAGCTGCCCAGAATCTGCCCTGATATAGGAAGGGTCACAGGAAGGCACCTGCAGCCCTACCCCCTCCACTCCGCCGGCCTGTTTGCTTGCATTAGTTCTGAAAGCCGCTTCTTCAATTACAGGAGGTTATTAGTGGACAGTGCACAGAGGCTGCAGGGCCCCGGGCTACAGCGGCACAGCCACACAACAGAGCTCAATATGACATGACTGCAGAGGGGACACGCCTGCCATGCAGAAAAGGTCAACGGCTTTCGGTGGGCAGCAATGTGTGAAAGTGTTGCAGTCGCACAATGGTTTGGGAAGAGAGAGACATTAGTCTGGATTTGCGTGGAAGCCCCTCAGATTGTCCTTGGCTAATTTATTGCTTTGGTGTGTTTATAAAGCTCGTATCTCATTCAACATCATCAGTTTGGTCGCTTTTTTATGGTCACGGTTAAGTCAGGATTCTACGATGGATGGGTAATCAGTAAATCAGAATCTTAGCAAGTGAGCAAGAGTTAGTTCACTCACACGCTCTGAAAACATGGCAGCACTATGATTGTTTTTATACAGAGCTTGTTTTCCACATACCAGGCTGGACGTTGGTTCTATCAGAGATGGACGTTTCTTTTAATTTTATCCGAACATATTGCACACGGTCAGCTGTCAAAACAATTGCAGCTGGGAGTTTGAAATTGAGTCCACATGTTTACTCATATAGATCCTGTGTTCTCTCTCTCTCTCTCTCTCTCTCTCTCTCTCTCGCTCATAATGTAAAACAGAAGGAACAAATTGGATGGTCAGTAAGTCAGTGAACATTGTTTAAAGATGCAGCAAAACAGGGATTTGTGAGAATATCAGGTTTTTAATATCATTGTTTTCCCGTCTGTGACCAAAAAATATGAAATTGTTTTTAGGCAACAACTTCAACTGATTGTATCTCCCATGCAACAGAGCCTGAAAACAGAGTATTGATAAAGCAACAGTCAATTAGAATTAGGCACATATATGGGATAATG